CCCCCCCCCCAAAAAAAATAAAATAAAAAAAGAACTCTAAAACAATGGTCGGCACCACCATTGTCGCATCAAATCACAGCCCGCAACTACATACACAACTACAAACTTCATCGACGCACAACCAAGCAGTAGCGCAACTCATGGGAGAATAGGTTGTGCATGGCAGTTCCTGCCGATGGGTAGAGAGAGGGGGATAAAGTGAGAAGATAGAGAGAGAGAATAGGTAAACTTCATCAATGCTCAACCAAGCAGCAGAGCAAGTCATTGGGAAAGAGATTGGGCTTGGAATTTCCGACCGATAGGTAGAGAGAGGGGGATAAAGTAGGAAGATAGAGAGAATAGGTATAGAAATGAATTAGGATTCAAGATTAATTGGATTGGAAATGTGGTTGTATATATTAATTTATAATATAATTATAATATCAAAATACTAAAATATCACCTGATTTTTGCACTGTAAACTTGAAATACCTGGAGCCTTGTAATTTCCTCTTATATTCAACCAAGAGCCCAAGTAGGGTAAGTTACACTAGGGTAGTAAATGGGTCAAGTAAAAGGCCCAATTAATAGACAAACGGGCTGCCAAGTGAAATCTCTCAATTCTTTTTGGCCATCCAAGAAAGTGGGTTGGATCATGAGCAATACTAAAGTATTTAAGTTATTTCAAATGGTTCAATTAACCTTTGGATTTTGTCGTCTCGATTGTGATGTTACAATTTCGTTCAATCATTTGGCCAAGTCGACTAAAGATTAAAATCGAATTAACATCACAATTCGGGGAGGTTGTTTGACAACAAATTGTCTAACATGGGCCAAACTAAATTAATTATGTCCACTCCTTAACTTCCTTCAATTATAAACTCTTAGGTACACACATAACTGCACTTGGACAATAATATGCAATATTGTGTAAATGGAGTTACATTATGATAATAATGAAACATTACAAGAATACAAAATGAACAATATTTTAGTCTACTATGCTTCCCCTTTATGATACATTCTTGTATTCAATAAATTGATATCTTTGGAGGACAGCTTAGATATTGATTCTCTAGTCTCTTTGCAGGCATTGGGTAAACAAGATTGGTGGCTCACGAAATAAATAATTATTTGCAAGTTGCCTTTTTTAATCCAACTTGCTACAGGAAATGCCCTTTTTGGTTTTGTTACTTTGTCTCCCCGTTGAACACCTTTGACTTCTTCTTGGATAAGTTTCAATTATTAATTCATTATTCAAATCAAAGAGTAATTAACTAACTAATTCGACACACTTCTTCTCACATAATTAAGCTCCTGTTTGATTTTGATTATAAAAATAATTATTTAATAAATTTTGATAAAAATTGATTGAATGTATGGTTGAAAAGTTGTGAAACTTATAAAATATATGATTAACGTTAATTGTTGCATTTGAATTAGATTCTGAATAAAACACGGGCTTAGTTTCCATTTGGTAAATTTATAAATGACTTATAAAGAAGAAGGATAATGAGTATCATGAAATGCGTGAATAATAATAGTAACTAGGAATATGTGATTAAAATTAATGTTTGATTTTGCATGAATTTATAAATCATAGATCTCTTGAGATTTATTTTGCATAATAGATTTTTAAAGTTTTTCTTAGAAAATAGTTAATGAACATCTATAATGTCTTTATAAAAAGGCAAAAATAAATAAATAAATTAAAGTTTTAGTTTTAGCTTTAGTTTTTTTTGTTTTTGTTTCATAAAGAGAATATATGCATTCCACAAAATGTGAAAATTATTAATGGAAAAGCTTAATAATGATCAAATATAGTGCCACATATTACTCTTATAAGTTATAAGTTGATGTTATTCAAGCAATGAGTTAAAATTTAGAGTAATGCTATTTTATATTATCGGTGTTAAAACTCGTAGCATATTAAATGAGAGGTATAATTAATTGAATTACATTATGAGAGTATGTCAATAATGCTAGATAACATTATTCTAAAATCTATTGTTACGATTTTGTTATATCATTATATGTTCGTCCAATCAAATTTTGACAAGTCAATAAAACTTTTGAGTATCAAAACTTAAGTGGGAATACACCAATCCATTACATTTCTGAGAGCATCTTTTTGTCTTGTCATTTACATTTCCCTAAAAGCTCAACTTTGCTGACTTTCTGTCTTACCTAAACTTCATCAGTTTTTTATCTGCATCAAACACAACGCTTATCATCATTGTTGTATCTGCATCAAACACTAGGAGCTCTTGTTTCTGGAAAATCAGTGAATATGTTCAAGATTGCATTAAGGTTAGTTCAATGAAATAAATCTTGAAACGTGCTTCTTTCTGTGTTTCTTTATAGACAGAGATCTCATTTCTGGGTTTTGTTCTGGTGTAATATCAGTAGCAACTGCATTTCAAGAGCTTTTCTCACTAGAAGCTTCATCAGGAATTTTTCCGCCCAGATAGGAAGGTCAGATAAGATCCCTCTTCTCCACACTCCAATATATACACGCACAATTCTGAAATGGTTTGATTCTTCGGAATTAAATGGGTAATCTCGAAGTTCTTGTTCCTTGAAAATGTACGTTCCACTTTCTTTTTCATTGAAACCTAACTTAAATCTGCGATGTGCTGTACTAGGGAGATAACGTCCTCTTATGTGGTTTGGGTTTGAAATCTTGGTATAAATTATGCCACCACCTCTCCTCGTTGATAAATATTAGATAATTTAGACCATTTTGGATCATGTTAATAAAATACTAAAGTCACTTTAATTCATACATTTCAAGAAACTTAATTACTGTTCATTTATTCATTATCCATTTCTATCAATTTATGTGCTTGTTTGGTAAGAATTTTGATAATTGATTTTTTGACCCTTAGAAATAAAATGAGTCCAGAAAAATCTAAAAATAATGGCTGAAATAGTAAAATAACGATAAAAAGATTGATTTTAATTGGAGTCTGTTTGGGAGTGATTTTTAGAATTGATTTTTTGATTGTTAGGAGAAAAGTGGGGTCCACTTGTAAGAGAAGAAGTCAAATATGACGGTTGAAATAGTGAAATAACGGTCAAAAAATCAATTTTTTTGGTGAAGAAATCGGGCCAAAACAGGCTCTTGGTTTAAAATTTGTATCAAACAAGCACATAATTTAAATGTTTATAAAGACTTCCCAAACATGGTAATTAATATGGCCTATATATGAACCTTATTAACAAAACTTTAGTGCAAGATATTCACGAAGGATAATTAAGAAAATAAATTCAGCAGAAATCCACTAAAGAGCAAGACTTGAAGGTGAAACATTAGATTAAGAATATAACCCTTTTGTCTCTTTAATAAATTGAGGATCGCAACTGCAGAATTTTCTTTTTTGGTAGAAGCATATGTTGCAAATTATTTCAATTGAAGTTATACGTTATTGTGTGAACTGAACTTGGTCGGATTCCATCCGAAGGAATATTTAGCAGTGACATAGAAATTTGAGGCCACATGTTAATGTATTAGAGTGAGGGGAATTAGGTATGATTTGACCGATTAATGGTATCTAATTTGGATGAATAATACAACATTCGTAAGTAGCAATGAGTTTCTAAATGAAATTAGAAAATACCCAAAAGGCAAACGAAATTACATTTTTTCTAAGTTTTTATGGTTGACAAGTTAGATTGAATATGTAGGATTTTCTCTCCTAATCCATTTTTTCTATCTAATTTCCCACTTTTCCACTTATATTGCAAGGTGGTAATGCAAATTTTCCCTCTTAATTAAACAAAAAATTGTATCTTATGACCAAAAGACAGAGATAAAAAGAAATGGTACATTATGAAACAGTTTACAAGCAGCTGGCACGTTAGGTTGAACTTAAAAGCCGCTAAATGGCTGCTACCTAGAGAAAATTGGCTTTTAAGCTCGGTCAAACGTACTAGAGTAAATCGAAGGATCCGTTTGATTGCAAAAATGAAATTTGGGTGGAAAGAAAACGAATTCAGGAAATTGAATTACTTAAAAATTATTTTCTTGGGAATTGTAAACTATTGTGTTTGATTGATATACTTTTTCATGTGAAAAATGTTGAAATAAAAGTATTTTTTGGTGTTCGTTTGACTTTGTTTTTTATGAAAATTGTCAATTAAAGGGATTGAATTTATTGTTATTGGGGATGAAATTTATTTTCATTGCCAAAACCAAAAAAAAAAAAAAAATTCAAGAAAATCATCTATTTTTTAGTGTTCGTTTGACTTTGTTTTACATAAAAATTGTTAATTAAAGAGAAATATTTTTTTTCAATAATTCTTAAAATTTATTTTCGTTGTCAAAAAAAAAAGGTCAACAGTAATCGGGAAAATCAAGGGAATTGATTTTCCCACAAAAGCAAAAAAAATACAATTCCCAAGAAATTCAAGAATTCCTATTCCATGGAAAATAAATTCCAATCAAACACACCAAAGTTGAAAAATGCCATTCAAATTCCATTTTTCATGAAAATAAATTGCCAATCAAACGTTGCCTAAGTGTAAATTTTTTATGCAGCAAACTAGAAGGCAAGATAGCATTAATCACAGGCGCAGCAAGTGGCATTGGAAAAGAAACAGCAAAAAAATTCATAAACAATGGCGCAAAAGTAGTGATTGCTGATATTCAGGCACAAGCCGCACAACTGGGTCAAGAAACAGCCAAAGAACTTGGAACCCATGCCAGCTTCATTTCATGTGATGTGACAAAAGAATTAGACATTGCACATGCTGTGGATTATGCCGTCTTGAAGCATGGCCAACTTGATATCATGTTTAATAATGCTGGAATCGCATGTCACACTCCGCCTACCATAGTTGACCTTGATCTTGCTGCATTCGACCGTGTCATGGCCATCAACGTTCGAGGAGTGGTGGCTGGGATCAAGCATGCGTCCCGAGTTATGATTCCCCAGGGACATGGTTCGATTTTGTGCACATCGAGCATCACAGGAGTTATGGGAGGGTTGGCACAACACACATACTCGATATCCAAGTCGACAGTTATAGGAGTAATGAAATCTGCATCGGCAGAGCTGTGTAGGCATGGTATCAGAATCAATTGTATATCGCCATTTGCCATTACTACTCCGTTTGTGATTGATGAAATGAGGGTATACTTTCCTGGGGTTGATGATCGGGGGCTTGCGAAAATGATACATGATAATGGTGTGTTGAAGGGAGCCATTTGTGAGCCAGAAGACATAGCTAATGCTGCTCTTTATCTAGCATCTGATGATGCCAAATATGTTAGTGGGCATAATCTTGTAGTAGATGGTGGTTTTACTTCAATTAAGAATTTGCATTTTCCCATACCATACGAGTTTAAAAGAGAAAAACGAGGAAGATTGTTATAAGATGCACAATCATCAACCTATGGATTATATTTGTCGCATATTTGATACGTTAAACTCGACCGGACTCAATTTTGCCCCATTACTCTTATTTTAATCATGTCCACTTGTAAGAGTGCCTTGATCACCAACTTCCAAGGCATGGTAGCCAGATCAAGCACATGTCTTGAGTTATGGTTCGATATTGAGCACGACAAGTGTCATGAGATTAATAGGAGGGCTCTAGTAGTATTCGAGTCTATGATTATAAAATTTATGAAGTATGCATCAGCAAAGCTATGCGAGTACGTTATTTGAGTTAATTGTAAATAGCCAGCCATTTGCCTTCCGACTTCATTTCTAATCGAAGGGATGAGGGAGATCGTTACGGAGGTTGACGACCACGGGTGTGGAAATGATAGAGGATAATGGTGTGTTGGAGGGAGCCACTTGTGAACCAATAATTCTGCTCTTTATCTAGCATCTGATGATGATGAGTATGTTAGATGGTGGTTTTACTTCGCTAAATAGTTTGAATTTTTAAAATGTCATCATCCATAAGAGTTTAAAAATGGAAAACAAGGGGGAAAATGATAGTCATAATTAAGAAATATTGTTACAAGATGTACAAGCTCATACATTTGGATTACATTTATGTCACGTTCGACAGCACTTCACTGTTAAACTTAAAAGATTTACTTAAATAGGTTAATTTAATATAGACAAATAAATAATTCTATGGTACTTAAAGTTAGACGTAAGTAGACTACTTATTTTGACAATATATTAAGACTAAATTTTGTAAAAAAGTAAGTTATCTAAGCATGAAAAAAGAAGATTGTTTCAAAATAATTTTTAATTCTTCTCGTTCTTAGCCAAACATTCTATAGATATTTCTTAATCTTCACCCAATTTTCGCGTGTTCAACATTTTGGAGCTAGATTTTATTACTTTAAATTTATCCGGTGTGTAGAAATATGATTTAAGCACATTTCACCAGGATCATGTAACAATTTAATGAAGTTTTTGTTTTTGTTTTTGTTTTTTATTTTTTATTTGTTTTGTTTTGTTTTGTTTTGTTTTGTTTTGTCTTTGCCTTCTATTGTTGGGATTGATTGTCCAAATACAATGAGAAGTCAAGAATCAATTATTTTTAAAGGTGGAAAATCTACTTGAGCTCGAAATTGATAAGCAAATTTTCTCTCATAGATAACTCCCATATCTACGAGCCGAGTTGAGATATACTGTTTAATTTTTGTTGTCTAGATTACTGTCCACCAATTAATTATTGACACGTCATGTTAAATTAGCATGTCACCTATTTTTTAAGCATAAGGAGTAATTAGAGAAAAGTTAGACATGGTAATTTAACATGATGTGTTAATAATTAATTGAATGAACAACAATTTAGATAGCAGATTTCAACTCCTACTGGCCAGGGTGTCAGCTACTACCATGCTAAACAGTAAAAAAGGCTGGCTTGCATAAGGAAGGCAAGGATGAAATTTGTTTTACCATCTGCATTGAATCTAGAAGATTTGTTTTGATTACATTGGCGAATCGACCAGAATCCAACGAATTATGCAGATTTTTATGAATCTATTATTTCACTAGGACGAAAAGTAGCATAGCTAACGTAAATTGCAAATAGAGAAGAATATGTTCTTCAGCTACGTCATATTCCTGAACTGTTATCCTTTTTCAGGGCTTGTAATAGAGCTAGCGTTTACCTTGTGTTTACTTTCAGGTTACATCATATGCCTATGGCTCATCTGAGTTACTTGGTATTCAAATTGATGCAGCAATAAATCTTGGTAAGTATTCTTGGTGCTACTAGGAATTGGTCCTTTTATGAATGTAACTGCTTTACAGCTTGTTTGGCAAAGTAAAGTGATTTTACCATTTTGACAGTTGCGTAAAGACTTGTTCTCAAGAAGCAATAATTTTTACTGACTACTGAAAATCTGAAAATTCTGACTTTTACCCAAATACGTTTTAAGCTTGGCCAAATGTTGTTCTTATTTGTTGGTAAGTTATTCCATATATTTCTAATGTTGCTTAAGCTCACTTGATTGAAGTGGATTCTAGGGATGGCAAAGGGGCAGGGTGCCCCATCCCTGCCTGATCCCCCCTTAAGGCGGGGTGGGGGCAATCTCCTGTCCTGTTTACGACCCCTTTTTTCTCCAGTGAATTTTAGGTTAATTTGGGAATTGGGTTAATGGGTTTAGGTAATCAATTCGGGTTTGGGCATAAAAAAATTGGGCTAAGGTGATTTTAAAATAACTTTGAATTATTTAAATAACTACACAATCTGGGCTAGTTTGGGATAGGAGTGGCAGGGTGGCGCACCACGGGGCTCAGGTTTCTTGGGGTCAAATTTCCATCCGTAGTGCATTCTTATAGAGCTACGAGTAAAAGTTTGCATTTTATTCCCCTTACATGTGTCATTGCTTATGTGAACTAGAATTAATTCTTGAGTACATGAATTAATTTCATAGGGCCTGTCAGGTCCCTCACTGTAATAGCGAAGCGTTGGAATTTCTTAGACTAGATGAGTTCAATCAATGTCAATTTTGCATGAGAATACTCAATTAAAAGTTTTCATCCCAACACTTTAATTTGAAAATAAAACATTCAAAACCTTATTTAATTTCTTTAATAATTCTAAATTTAGGTTTCTTTCATTATATAATTTCACAATGATTTATTGAAATTAGATCCCAAAGCAATTATATACATCAAGCATATAATGGTAAAAAATCACACCAATAAATTGTTTGAAATTGAAAATCAATAAATATTTCGATTATTCAATGAAGAAAACATGATTGAATTCATCAAAATCTAATGTGAATCAACCCAATTCCAAAACATATCCAATAACATAAAAAAATCCAGATTTAGAATTGTTCAACAATGAAAAACACTTTACACACAATAAAAGACATTGAAATTCTCAAATCTAAACCAGTTCTTTCGTGGCTTCACCGATTAATTTAGTTTTCCATGAAATTCTTGTGCCAAAGATGAGAGAAAAAAGATAGGAGATGAGGAGGGCGTGTTCTGGTCAAATTAGGGTTTAAAATCGAGTGCTAAATTGTTTTCAAAAAAGGTTGAACGGAATTAGCACACTTGAAGATTCGGCCAAAAATTGTTCCGTGCGACTGCTTTCAATGTTTTGGCCGTAAATTTTTCTCTCGATGTCCCATTAAGAAAATTCAAAGTTCTTGGAAAGTTAACACAAAGATCTACAATTTTACTAGGACGCTCTTTCCAAATTTGAACGTTTACTAGATCAAAAGTTGATCTAAATTTTCTACTGAAAATTTGAAAAATCCTTGTGTGGTCGGAATTTGATTGGTGAAAATATTATGGTCATATTTATTTATTTAATTATTTATTTTATTTTTTTACTTCTAATTGCACCCATTGGACTCCTAACTTTCTCAAATCATCATTCCATCGTTTGTCTCATCTTTAAATTATTTGTAACTTGGTTCCTGAACTTTCACTTTCTTTCATTGTAGTCATTTTTTGCTCTTTTCTTCTAAATTCCACCGTATTTATCCATTTGCAACCTAAATCAAAATATAAGAGTACTTAGTGCATTTAGACGTTAATATATCATGCAAATACAAATATAAATGGATGAAAACATGACCAATTGTGTTATTAACTATTCCATCGAGCCTCGAGCCGAGCTGACTCAGGCATTTTCAGGGTCGAGCCACGAGTGACTCAAGTTGACGAGCCAAATTGACATCGCTAGTTTCCATTCAGTGGGGACTTAAAAGCTGCTAAATTTGAAGTCTGGGATTTTGAACCAAAAAAATATTTTATTCGAGACCTGGGTGCTACATTAGGCAAATTTGGGGAAGACTGCAAATTTCCCTTTTCGTGATCGTCTAACTTTCCTTGCACTCACAATGTTGCATTTGATCAGCTTGCAAGGACAAATAATTGGTCTTCGAGTTTGAAGACAATTTTTTGGTCGTTTTGGAAAGGGAATCGGGTTGCATCTTCAAAGACTATGGTATTCCATCCGAAAGATCTTCTGATCTTTCTGAATCATACGTGGATTCTATAGGACACGTTGAAACTATAAATCGACATGAGTTGGTTAGCTTTGCCATTTCAAGTTCAGAATTTGGCTATGATGGACTTCTTTGGGCGTAAATAATTATTTTTTCTACCATTTAGGATATAATTTTGGTTACATTATTATACTTAACAAGAAATTTTTCCCATTGATTGTCTAACAGTTATTATTGGAGGGATTTGTAGCATGCTTGAGGCACTGTAGTTGGCCTCTTTAGCAGTTGGTGAACAATGGAACTTTTTGTTTAATTATTTTCCCTTTTCATTTTTATTTGTGGGGGGTGGGGAATATGTTGAGTTAATTATTCCAAAGGTCACTGAATTTAGGTCCATATCTTTGATTGGCCACTGAAGTTTAAAACGTTGAGTTTTGATTACTGAATTTAGGTTCATGTCTTTGATTGACTACTGAAATTTAAAATATCGAGTTTTAGCCACTAAACTTTGAAAAATATCGAGTTTTGGTCAATGAATTTAGGTCCATTTCTTCGATTGCTTACTGAAGTTTAAAATGTCAAATTTTGACCACTGAATTTTGAAAAATATTGTACATTATTCACTGAACTTTGAAAAATATTGTACATTACACACTGAACTTTGAAAAATGTTGTACATTATTCACTATAAACTCGATATTTTTTAAAGTTCAACAATTATGCTAGTGAATAACGTACGACATATTCCAAAATTCAGTGACCAAAACTCGATATTTTAAGTTTCAGTGAGCAATGTAAGATACAGACCTAAGTTCAGTGACTAAAACTCGACATTTTTCACTCGACATTTTAAATTTCAGTGACCAATCAAAGGCATGAACCTAAATTCAGTTACCAAAACTCGACATTTTAAGCTTTAATGGTCAATTAAAGATTTGAACTTAAATTCAATGACCATTAGAACAATTAACTCGAATATATTAGTTGATAGATAATGTGCTGTTCAATTCTTTCTGATTTGTAATAGGGAATAAGATTTAACCTGAAAGAAGAT